ACATAATACCGTAAAATGAGCTATTTTCCTATGTATTTTAACTTATTTTGAATGGTTATGAACCGATTAATATATATATAGTTAATTAGTTTTAAAAACGTGTCAAAGATTAGAAAATCATATATAAATATTGCTAATAAGTAACTACAACCTTACTAAAATAATTACCGTACCACGTTTCTTATAAAACGTTACTCTGATACTAAGAATTAATGATTAGGTGAAAATCTTTAAGAAAAGACTGTCTACTTGACATCAGACATAAAACAACACACCTCTTAAATCACACATACATTTATTTTGCTTTTGAATCTAACAGTAAAATATGAAACTCGCTGATATTCCATGAACGAAGAATAACGGGTTTGTTTGTGTAGCTGAATCTAGGACCGTTTAGAATATGAAAAACTAGAATAATATGCATGTAAGCTAAATTTTTGTGTATAGCTTTGCAGGTAATTTCAATTGTATTACCTAGTATTTTAATGATGCGCATTTTTAAATCAATGTGACATCGATAGTTATACGAGTTTTATTTGATGGTTTGCTACAATGATTTTTGTACCTACGCCATTTAGTGGCAAACAGAAACAGTCTACCTATAAGAGACATGCATATTTATATTAAACTTTAAGTTTAAAATATCATTATTTTCATATAAAGAGTTTTAATTCACACAATCCTTCAATTTTCCCGGGTAACAGGCTTATGATAAACTTCCTCCTATACCTACCCTTTTGGTATGGATATTCTATGAATGTTAAGGCATAAATAATTAAAGACTTACATATTCGTAAACTATTTGTATTCAGTTAATATGGTGTTTATATAATTTTAACACAAACATACCATAGCGTTTTTCAATTTGCCTCCAGTGTTTTTACTTAGTGCCTTAGTGCTGAGCCTTTATTTACTTAGTGTTTATTACATATTTGCTTTACTACTGCTGAAATGATAAGTTAGTTTTACTATATTGTATTACATTTTTTCCACTTTTTACCAGTTTTCTAATAGGTGGAGATGCTGCAGTATATGAGTGTAGAAGTTGGAATATCAAACCCTCAATCCCAGACAAGTTTCGACTTGATGTTGATGACTGCATTTACGTGGCATTTATGGGCCGATTTGATGGTGCGTTTCATAAAATCCTAATTCAGTAATATTCGAATTATTAATTTAAATATTTGGTTAAAATTTGCCATGCTCCATGATCTGTTATCAAAAATTAAATAAGAGGATGACGAACTATTAGGTATTTAAACTGAATAAAATTCAAGGAATGTGTACTGGATATTTGTAGCATTTATAAGAGCCATAAAGGTTTATATAATTATAAATTCGGGTATAGTATAATTTAATTTTATATTCTTCTGTGATCGACTTTACTGGTACCTAAAGAAATTAATATCCGCAATGCTGGTAAATTTTGTAATCAATATTGATAACTATAAATTATTTTAACGTTACATATTTTGATTTGAACCAGAAGACATGAAGGTTCATGCCTTACAAATTAAAACATGCCTTTTATTTTGTTCATAAATTAATTATCATCTCAGTAAAGGACGAATACGGTATATTTTCTTTATGATTGAAAATTTTAAAATCCTAAGTCCATTTCCATCCATATGGGACTGAAGTATAAAGTTAAACTTACATACTCTATAACCATGTTTAAGTTTAATGTTCAGAAAAATGGTCCTAAGAATACTTCTTCATAAAGCTATTTCTTTTAAGATGAGCCACCTACTGAGGAAATGATTGGCACTTACCGATGGCTGTTGGAGTACGGAGTAGAACACAAATATCTGTCAAAGGACTACAATGAGATCTTTCTGGACAAAACAGGGAATTCAGCAACGAATGTGTCATCAGTTTTAAGGGGCAATGGAAATACGAGCTTTCAACATCAATATGTTGACAGATGATTTGAGTTTGTTGTATTTAAAAAATTTGTTTCTTAAGGAAAGTTGGTTTTTAAGCAAAAAGTACAAACGTTTGGTTGGTAAATTTGATGTTTTAACAGTGTATGATGCTAGAAAATCTTTGCGTATTGAACTACAATATTCTTTGAACGAAATATACCTAGAACTTTTAATATCAATACTATTTATTTGAGAAAGCTGAACAAAGTTGTTTTTATAAAATAATAGTATACAGACTGTCCCAAAAGTCCCGGACCGGTTTAATATTTCCTAAACGACAACAGATAAATAAATAAAATTTTGCACATTAACACCACACTAAAAAATCTACTTTTTTAAGGAACTATCAGTTTTCTGTCATATCATGGGGACGTCCCACGAGGAGTCAGAAGGAAATCTTAAATAGGAGCATAGGTCAATATGCACATCAGTTTAAAGGGCTTAGCTAGCAGAGTTCAATGCCGGAAACCGCGCCTCGAAAGGATCACCCGTTACAAAATGGCGGCCGTTCAAAGATTTCTTGAACCTGCCATTTTGAATCTTTGAACGACTGCCATTTTTTACTCAGGCGTTCTTTTGAGCTTGAATTTACGGCATTGTAATCTACTAGTGAAGACCTTTAATTTGATGTGCATATCGACCTATGCTTACGCTAACAAAAATGTTCTGACTCCTAGGGCTCTGCCCCCAAATGCAAATTAAATGAATCTTTGAACCACTGTTACTCTTGACTTGGTTGTCCGTTTGAGTTTAAATTTGCAGCATTATATTCTGCTAGTAAAGACCTTTAATCTGATGTACATGTCAACCTATGCTTCTATTTAAGATTTCCTTCTGACTCCTTGCGGGACGTCCCCATGATGTGACAGAAAATTTATATTTCCATAAAAAAGTAGATTTTTAGGTGTGATGTTGATGTACCAAATCTTGTTGATTTATCTGTTGTCGTTTAGAAAATATTAAACCGGTCCGGGACTTTTGGGACAGTCTGTATGTCTTTAACTACTCAATTCTTAAACTAGAATTATCATTAATTAAACAAAAAATGGTATTATGTAAACCATACAAAATCAAAAGTATAAAAGCAGATAAAGTCCATACCTATATAGTATTAGAAATACGTTTTATTATTAAATAAAAATTATGCTAAAACAAATTTTACCAAAACCAAACCTTATTGGTTACACGATTTAAGCTTTCGAATGTAAAAAGCCGGTAATATGAATTTTAATTTCAAAATGCGTTAGATATTTGTTTATATTTATTATAATATATTTATCATACATATTTATATTCGTATATTTAATCAAAGGAAAAATGCATTACGAAAAATATCTTAAATGGAACAAAATAGTACTTGTATTTACCTTTTGTATTGGTTTAATAAAAATACCTCGTCTTTGCATGGTTCAAAAAATTTATTCATTTTATTTAGTTTAAAAGGTAAACGTCAGATATTGACTACAAAATGTTAAATTTACTAGTGAGTTATACCTACTAATCAATATCAAGCACATTAAGTTCGACCCATCTTTGTAACGAGATTTTATTTCTTGAAGTAAAGATTAATTTTAGAAATTGTTTGGTACTGTTTATGAGCTCTCCTTTATTTACTCTTAAGACTATATAGAGAATAACATCTAGTCAAGAATAAAGCTCTATATTTAATATGCAATAAGATTCATGTTTTTATTTGACAACCTGAAAACAACAAGACTATAAACCATTGCCTATCGAATACTGAAATATGCCAAGCCAACAAGACCATATTGCAAATTTAAGCTGATATTAAGTTAAGAATTATTTGGAATGTCTAAGCTGTATTTTTGAACTAGACGAGTTTGTCTTCAGGCAGACCCATCTATTAGTCCAAATTATTGGGTACATTTGATTTTACTTTTAGCATAGAAAATATACCAAGAATAATTTTTAGAACCGATACTGGCAATCATCTAATAATTAAGTGAGCAATTTGACCACCAACAATAATAAAAGTATTTTAAGGCGTATTTTTGTTGTTGTGTCTTTTACTTAGAGGCTATTTTTTTAGTAATCGACAAACTATAACGGTATCAATAGTTTTCGTCAACTTAACCATCTTTCATTTATAAAATATAGTAATTTTTTATAAGAAAATATACATTAAGTATATTTTAAATTTGTGTACATATGAATATAGAATAATCATGATCGATAGTAACATTAAAAGCAATAATTTAAAAGTTCAAAATTTAGCACGGAAAAGGGACAATATTTTAATAGGGAAGATGCTTGATAACGTTTGTTTGGAAATCAACAAGTTGTTTACTTTTAAGCAATCCCAACGAATGACGTAGTTTCTATATTTAACTCTATATTTCTATATTTTGATAAGAGTTCATTAGTTCATATTCAGGGTTCATTTCTTTAAAGCCAGAAGTAGATAGTGACGACCAGTGGTTATCTTGAGTGAGAACTGATATTTTTTAAAGGCAAGTAAAACTAACTCTTCATAATTATATGGTCATAGGCATGTAACGGGTATGACATTATATTTAAATATTTGTAAGTCAATTACCCTTTCAATATTTATAAAATTGCTAAACGAAAACAAATAAAACTGTATTGCCTGCAATTTCAGAAATAGGCAATCTTTTTTCCTTGTGTTGTGCCGATGTATATCACATCTAGCCTCCAGCTCATGTTCTCTCTCTTTACACCACAACTGACAAGCTGACAGGGGACAGTCATCCCCCAACTGTTTGAAAAGAGGTCTAAAGATGTTCTTGCTGATTCCCTACTCCTGAAATTATCCTAAAGACTTCTCTGTTCCTGATGAAAACTTAATCTCTTCTGGTATATTTACAGTTGTTAAGTAATTGAAAAAAACTACTAGGCCTATGGTCAGTGATCATATCAGTAGCTTGAGATTTAGAATGGTAAAATATACATTTGAAAACTGAAGCTAATTTGTGCATGGAAATTTTGTATCTATAGCATTACTAAGATTTATCCATACATCTACAGCTGTTAAATAATTGCAAAAAAATAATGTAAACTTTATTTACCCTTGAGCATATTTTTTTCCTAGATCAAACACACATTTGAAGGCAGCCATGTTCAACAGACCACAAGTGACTCTCCCCCTCCACCTCGTCACTAGAGAGGAGTGGGGGGCGAAGCCTGCTAAATTCACCCACGATATGCAACATCAGCCAGTACACCACTATGTGGTAGAGTACGCTGCAAGACGGCCTTGTTATCAGCCCAACGATGGTTCCTTGATTGACATCATGAAGAAGATGCAAAAAAACCACATGGCTGACAAGGACTGTCCAGATATTAAATACAAGTATGAACCTCTATGGTTGTTTGAAGTTTGAATTGTTGCGTGCCATTTAGATACACATTATGTATCGTAAGTTAATACAGCAACTTAGGTAATATGTTCCAAGGGGGGAAATTAATAATAATAATTTCCTATTTGCCTTATTAACGAATTTCCCTATAGGAAAGTAGCTATTACCGTAGGTCTTATGGTAAGACTTGAGCCCGGGACCAATTTGATTTTTCATTTTGATTTGCCCAGGGGCGATCACTTGAGTAGCTTTTGTTTGATTTTGATGAAACTTGGTTTGAAGGTGTAAGGGGTGATGAAATTGACTTTGTTCGTGAACCAGCATGATCGGACGATGGAAACGTGGTTTTACGGGGAGTTTTATGAGGTAAAATGGGGTTTTCTAATTTTTGACCATCAAAACACATCATTTCCCAATTTATCCCTAGACCATTTTAGATAGCTTATAAAGACAAATAATTATGTATATTGAAGTGTTTTTTTGCAGTTATTGGTTACGGAGAAACTTCAAAAAGTTTTAAATTTAAAATCCCTATGTTATTCGTTTGGAGAATATTGTAAAATGTTGTAGTTTGCTTGATTATGGATATATTTTGATCAAAGTGGGCAAATGTATTTATTTTATACTATGCTATTAATATTTAATAAAAACATACTTTATTAGCCTCCCTGTAGCAGCAAACCTAGGTACTTGTTTAACCTAATGTTATTTAAATAGATTTAATTGTATATCAATTCAGACAAATCGACATTCGTTTAGTCTGCAGGTTTGCATTGGCGAGGGTATTGTATCACTTCTTTGATACAATTGTAGACAAAGGTACCGTAAAAATTGTGTAAATGTTCAGAAACACATGATAGTGTTTTACCAGTATGTATATTATTCCTAATTTAATTTTTTATGACTAATTAACTCCATTTTTCACTTTACTTACGTACGGGATCCAGTATATACTTATTAAACTAAATTATGAAAACCATATTTGAAACCAGAAAAAAAAAATCCTACTTAGAAAGTTATAAGTATATTTACATCTTAATAAACCTAAGTTATAAAAATAAATTCAAACTCATATGATATTGTAATTATTTATTATTGACATGTCTATGATGATGCACTAGCTAATCAGTAATTAACTGCGAGAATGAACTCTCAGCTAAACATGTCAATATAACAATAATAACTTTAATGTAATACTGTACTTGTTTAATTTTAGAAATAAATTATTATTAATTATTATTCTGATAAACTTTTTGAATAAATTAAAATACCAATCCTGTAGGAGATATTTATTATATTTTATAAATATTGGCTACAAAATGTTATGTATTTCCATTATTTGATACTTACTTACATTTATTTTTTATTTAATACATACATATATTTCTACAGTAATGTTTTCGATATTTTCAGTTTTGTTGTTGGATACGATGGCATGGTCTATGAGGGGAGAGGGTGGATGTTACAACCAACACTTCCAGATAAATATTGGAAAATAAAACACATGTGTGTATTCATTGGTTGGATTGGTAAATTTACAAGTAAGTTTTATGTTAACATTTATAAATATTGAACGGAAAGACAGGGTGTATTTTAAATAGATAAGGGTACGAGGAAAAATTACCCAATACATGTAAGAAGATGCTAAACTTTACACAGAATTTAAATAGTTTATTTGATTTATGCCTTTGAACATAAAATATTTTATTATAATTAACTACCCCTACGTTATTGTCCATCATTTTACTTTTTATATACATCGTTTATGGTTGTTCAACGAGGTAATTTTCCAACATCTATGTAGATGTTTTTCAAGAAAATCTATTATAGTCAAGTTCGTGCTATTCCAAAGTCACAATTCAGGACAAATATACAATTAACTGTGTTTTGGACAGTAAAAACCTATTTAAATTGTGTTAAAATGTTTTGTAGAAAATCAGCCGACACAATGAAAAAACTAATAAATATGTTGGGTTATATTTTAAAGGTATTTTCACTATAATATATATTTTGCTGTTTTTCAATTTTTTTACAGTTTTTATAATTCATCAATATTTTTTTAAGAAATCATCCGACACAATAAAAGAAACTAATTAATTTTGAGTTATCTTTTAAATGGATTTGTATTAATATGTATATTTTGCAGTTTTTTACAGTTTTCTAACAATTGAAAAACTCGTTTAGAAAACAATGTATTGGTAAGGATAGTTAAAAATAGTAAATTAAACTATAGTTGATGTATGATACGAAATACATATAAAGATCTAGCTGAAACAGACGAGATCTAAGTGCAACAGTAACACTAAGCATATGATTGAGCATGGGATTTTAACAACAAAAACCATTTATTGTCTAGGTGCAATTGAAGCAAAAGAAATTACTCCACCGAAGAATGTTGTGGACGTCCGAAGGAATTTGATGCACATCGGGATGGAGAGGAGACATATCAGTCATATACTTAGAGTATTCTTCATAAAGCAAGGTAACGTTATTCTAATATTTATTAACCCTTATTTCACAAAAATCAATTCCTAATAGTTTCCAGCTTAGGGATTTGTTTATGAAAATACTTATAACCTATAATATTTTTAATAGATTAACATGTACGAGTTTTTATTATAACATTTTACATTGTTGTAAAAACAATTTTACAGTAGACCATTATAAGTTCATTCAAGTTTCAAAGTAACAATTAGATAATTTGTTCTTTTAATGGTTTTATGTAATATTCTTTTACATACATACACATACCCTCTCCCTTTCTGGTTGTGTATCTCCAGGTCTGGGTGTTTACTAGACCTCTCCATCTTCTTCTGTCTCTCCACAATTCCTCTTCCTCCACATACTGACACTGCACTCCTCTTGCTTCCACATCTCTCACCTTGTCAATCCACCTTCTTCTAGGTCTTCCTCTTGGTCTCCTTCCGTTTATGTGAAGCTCACTCATTTTTCTAATTCTTCTTAAGTGGACAAACAATCTCAATCTCGATTTCTCTACTCGTTCTTACAAACTTTCTTAAACCTTTCCTCTTCTTTACTCTGTGTTTTTAATTCTATCCAATCTTGTTTTCCCTTTAATACCTCTTACAAACCTAATTTCCCCCGCATGAGCCCTAATCCATTCCCTTTCTGTTCCTTTCCAAACGTTTGCACCATAGGTTACTATTGGTAATATCATTTTGTTTCAGGCAATCACAAAAGAAAAGGTGACTTCTCACCGGATTGGGAATAATCATATCTATAAATATAAATTTCCTTTTTGGTCTATAGTAAATTAATTTTGATTCACAAGACTATTTTAAAGTAGAATGTGCTCAATAAATATGTTTTTATGATATATCATGGGTGAAAAAGTTTTATATTACATGAATGCTTGTTAATATTTGTAGCTTCCTCATAACAAGCACGTACGTTACTTTGAAAAATTTTGTTTGACGCAATTACTACTCTTATTAACAGAGAACCCCCTTCTTTTAATTGTTTTTCATTATATTTTATCTCACACTAACCCTTAATGTAAATTAAAATATTACAAAATGATTAATATTACGTTAGGTAATATTTCAGTTTAATATTGAATGTAAAGTGTCACATAAAATTTTATTACTAACCACATGAAAATTACTTATACGAATTTTGGAAAATATATGTTGACAGTTTAAATAGGTAGCTGTGAGACCTTTATTATGTTTGTATATTTGAAAAAATTCATGTTAATACTTTAACAATCTGTTTGAAGTTGTATAAATCTGTTATGTTTTGGAAGCTGTGTTTTAATGGTGTTGTTACAAATACACATAATTTCGCATGACTTAATAATTGTATCCTAATTAGAAGAAAGTAAAAAAAACTTCAATGGTTAGAAAATGTATTGTTTTCCGGCAATTTTTTAAACAGCATCGTCTTATTCCTGTTTTAATAGTCTTTGTTTCACAGTGCATAACCTCAGGGCTAATTTGAGGTTTTTTACGATATATAAATGTATTTTACACCTAAAGGGTGTAAGGTGTATTTCACACTTATGTGTACGAAGCCCAACTGCTAAAAACTATCGTCTAGGCAATAGAGAACCTCTTGAAAACGCTGTATGTACAAGTTCAGGAGGGTGACTTCATATGCTAGAAATTCCAGCGATGTTCTACAGTGTTTGCTGCACTGATGAATCAAAGTTGTTCTGTCCTCTGATCTTTCACTATTCTCCTGAAAAATGCAGAAAAGGTGTTCCACGGTTCAGGAATGGTTTATTTTGGGGTTTGGATCAGATGAACGTGTTTGTCTGGCAAAAGTTGCCTGCAACTGTTTCAAAGTCCCTTCAGACCTTCCCTAATGGAATCAGATAGGCAGCACATCATCGTTATCGGAGTTACATACTGACAATTAAGGGTCGCTGACCATCTCGTTTTTTAAGGTAGGACCCGAATCAGGCGTCTCTGGCAAAAAATGATTTACACATAAATCTCTCTCCCCGTACTCTTGTTCAACTTACCTTCGGGGATCTCTTTAAGTCACAATGTCCACCATAGACACCTCTACCTATATTGCGTTTTCTCCAGCTTTGGTAAGGGTCAAGGCTCCGTTATCGTCGAACATCAGCTTAAAATCTAAACCAAAGTCAAAGGGAACCACCCCTCCACCAATAAGAATGGTTAGCACTGCAGTTGTAAGCTTATATATTTAAATACCCTCGCCGCAGCAAACTTGCAGACTAAGCGAATTACCATTTACCTGGCTGGATTTCCACAAAAATATATTTCGTGAAAATGGTCATAATTTATTCCTTTTAAAATAACATTAATTTTAATTAGTACCTAGGTTTGCTGCTACGGGGTAGGTAGGTGTGCTTTTATTGAAATGGTAGCTTTAAAATATATCCATAAACAAGCAAACTACATCAGATTATTTAATCTCCATAAGAATAATATGGGAATTTTATATTTTAAGTTTTTTATTATGTCCGTAACCGTTAGGCATACAACAACACCCCAATATACAAAATTGTTTAAGCTCTAAAAAAACGGTTTGGAAAGAAATTATGAAATGTTATGTTTTTTTTTTGTCAAAAATGGGAAAGCCCAATTTTTACCCCGTAAAACACCTCATAAACCCCCGTTCCCATAGTCCGATCATGCTGGTTCGCGATTTCGTTCTAATTAACGTAGAATAACGCGTTTCTACCAAATTTTATCAAAATCGAATCATTATTGCTCGAGTTGTTGTGTTAACGGATATACAGGATTAGTAAAAAGTCTGGAGACCCCCTGTTAATTTTTTTACGGCCCATACTAGAAAAACTAAACTCGGCCCACTTTTATCCTATGTTATAAGTTACTTTTGGGCATAACCGCCACTTGGCAAACATCCCTAAAATGGGGGATTTTGGGGAAAACTCTAAAATTTCAAATAGTAAGACCCATCGAGTGACCCATCATTTTGAAGGTCCTGGTAAAAGACAACTAACAACGCAAACTAGAAGTCTCTATCTCAATTTAGTAAAAAATGGCAGCTGATTGAAACCTTTAGAAATCAGAATTAACTTGCAATTTTATATTCAATTGGCCACCGTATTTTACTGTAATAAGAGACCTTTAGTTTGCGTTGATAGTTTTATTTTTCACGACCTTCAAAATGAGTGGTCACTCGATGGGGCTAAAATTTAAAATTTTAGAATTTCCCCCAAAATCCCCCATTTGGGGTTCGGGAACCAAGTAGCAATTAGGCTCAAAAAGTGCTTCATAACATGCCATAAAGGTGTGTTAAGTTTAGTTTTCCTAGTGTCAGCCGTTACAAAGTTTACAGGGGGTCTACAGACTAGGAAAGCTCTGTAAGTCAAATTTAACTTCTGAGAGTTTCAATCAGCTGTTATGTTTTACTGAATTGAGATAGAGACCTCTGAATTGCGTTGTTAGTTTTCTTTTACCAGGCCCTTCAGAATGAGGGGCAACTCGATGGGTCTTACCGTTTGAAATCTTTGAGTTTCCCCCAAAATCCCCGGTTTTGGGGATGTACCCCAAGTGGTGGTTATGCCCAAAAAGTACTTCATAACATGCTAAAAAAGTGTGCCAAGTTTAGTCTTTCTAGTATTATTTGTTAATATACAAAATTAACAGGGGGTGTCCAGACTTTTTACAACCCCTGTATATGAATTTTAACGGAGGGTGTTTTTGGCGTCTGGGGACCTCAAAACGAAAAAGTAAATCGGTCCCGGGTCCAGTTCTTGCCATGAGTACTACGGTAATAGCTTATTCCCTTTATGGGACATATGCCAAAAGTAACATACATTTTGGAAGGTCAACCCTGTATGTTAATATAAATCTAAACTTGATTTCCTTGACTGTGAAGCTGAAAAAATACTGATGACAATGACATTAAATAAAATAATAAACACCTTCTCGGTAAATCACAAGTATAAATCTAAGCCACGAACTTAAACAAAAGTAATAGTTGCGCTTACAATTATTTATAAACAATACAGGCACTTTGACTATTATTAATTTTCTAAAATAATTTTAGCTTTTTCTAAAACCGATCCAAAAAAGTTAACTTTTTACTGTTACATAGTTATTATCTGATTATTTCTATGTTTTTAGTTTTTCCGGAACAAAAAAATTCCATTCTACTAAGGAACAACGTTAACAACGAGCCTCCTCACTGCATAAAAAAGTATTTCTACTACAATACAATAATCTACTTTCTTAAAGAGATAGATGTTTTTCCACAGATCTTTCATTTAATCCAAAAGAGGTGAAAATAAATACACTGTGCATTCATAATCTTCTCTACTGTCATCACTTACTGATTAGGAGCTCAGATACAATTCTATCTCCTAGAATTTATCTTATTTGTTAACAATCATTATATTAATCTCATCATTGATTCATAGGCTAACGCACTCAAACAGAATTTTATCGTTGAGATGCTTGACATCCATGATGACTCCATTAGGCTCTATAAATGTTGATTTGAAGTCCAGAGGGGTGCAAGATGATTTCGGGTTTGATAACTCGAGACCAATGGCAGGCTGAGAGAGCGTTATGGGCGACATTTCTTCTCCCACCAGCTATTTACGTGTTTTCAACATTCGATACCCATGTTTCGCCCTGTTTTTCTGAAAAGAAATGCTTACGTGATGTTAAGTTTCTTCAGAAAGAAGCTATGCGGTCTGGGAAGGTGCCTGATATCAAGTACAAGTAAGGTATTTTTGTTATGGTTAAATTTATATATTATGAAATTTCTTATTATGTGTTTGTCTCGTACAGGATTTGGGGGGTGATGTTTATCTTTTTAAGGTTCTTAGTAAGCTTTATACCACCCTTTTTTATTTATTTACACTAAGATATGTCTGAATCCAATTTTCTAGGGATACCAGTAAAATGAGTATTGTTTTTAAAGTGTATTAGCCTACATATCAAAGATCAACTTAATATTACTTTTAACAGTATTTGTTTTAACTAAAGCCCTAGTGAAAATACAACTATTGTCCATAAATCTAGTTTTTCTAATTCGAAAAGAAACATGACATAAAAAAATCATCTAGAACCAAATATATTACTGGAGAATGTGTTACTTGTTTGGCATTTTGTGAAAGTTTGTATTTAAAAAATTAAGCCCAGACAGAGAATATTACACAAGTACCATAACATATATAACAAAATAATAAAATTACTAACTACACTCGCTCATTCTTATTATATTGTTAACAAACTGTACATTGACTTATTTAGATTATGAAACTAGCATTTTTATTTAAGAAAGTAAAGCTATAGAGCAAAATGTCAGGCAGGCAGTTTTAGGTTTTAAGATGTATAAGTTTTTAATTCATATTTATCTTTAGTTTCTTGATAACGGCCCATGGTAAGATAATCGAAGGAAGAGGATGGATATATTGTCCTGGGGTTCCTACTAAATACAGGAATTTTCTACAAAGAAGCATCTACATTGGCTTCATGGGTAATTTTACTAGTAAGTTACTATTACTTTGTTTTATTCCATGCTAACCTCCTAATAGACCTCTTATAGGTTTATTACTTTAAAGCCGACTCGTGCCTAAAGCTTCTTTGTTTTTTTAGAAACCACCAAAATCCTTGAAAAATTTTGCGTCTCAAGAATATTTCCAGGTTCCGTAAACTCTTACCCAAAACTATTTCACACGTTATTCTATGCTAGTCCTAGAGGGTCGCGACGAAATTAAATTGATCAAATCCATTCGATATTCGTGGGATTTGAACTGACGACCTCGGTGATCGAAGCCCTCCGCTCTACCGCCAGACCAGCTCGCTCTCAAGAACTTAAATTCAATGTTTACATAGTAATGACACTTAATGATCCCTTGATAAGAATTGTGGTTCCTAGGATCATTATTGCATTTGGTATTTAACACTAATACCGAAACCCCACATAGGCTGACGTTCAGCAAAACCCCCGGTCTGTGAGACCCCATTTGAAAAATAATGGACTTTGCTTAGAAACACACAAACCGAAACCCTCGGTCTGTGAGACCCCGCTTTAAAATGCACTAACGTTGGGCTTCTGAGACGGACATGTTATGAACAGACGACCTGTCAAGGTCACGGCACCCATGCAAAATGAACAAGCGATATATCAATAGGTAGGGGAGGAAAAGGGGGGGGAAGGTATTGGGGAATGGAATCTACCTAGTAAACAGTGTTGCCAACATGCGTTTTTGAAAATTCCTGTGGGCCTGTCAGACCGGGGTTTCGGTGTTAGTGTTAATGATGTGCTCACTTCAGAATCCTCCTTATTCTATGGGATTTTTGAGTGTTGAACATTACTAGCATCTCAAGGTCCTGGTCACAAATCGATGAGAACCTCTTTTGCGAAGGAGGGGGGGGGGGGTTAACGTCACACTCTTTTCTTGAGGGAACACCATTACCGCAGCGATACGAAGTTTAGAAATCGGTGTTCATGGTGTAGTGAATAGAGTAATCGGTTAATGTTTATAAGGTAACCAGATCGAATCCCGCAGGTGACACTAACTTTTAGTCAAATACTTTGCTTACAATGCGATTACTTTTTAAACGTATATCTTTTGTTAGAATTTAAGGCAATTGTAATTTTATTTTATGAACAGTACTGTTTTTTTTTTTATTAGTCATTCGATCTTTCGATTATTAGATTTTTGTCTTATATCCAAGATAACTAATTTAAAAAATTAATCTTAAATTGACATGAGGAGCTCTCCCACAATCCCCCACTCCTTCGCAGAAGAGGTTCTCATCGGTTTTAGACCAGAACCCTGATACGCTAGTGTTTAACATTTGGTAGCTTATAAAACCTCCACAATTCTAAATTTTGTTTTCTTGGTAGCTTCAATTCAAACGATACTTTTTCAATGATTTATGTCAAGATTTTTTGTATGTAGTAAAATTTACACTATGTTCTCACTAATTAGGAACGTAATTTACTTTAAGGACTTTTCAGTGTAGTACTGATGATATTTATTGTTTATCAATATAAAAAGAACAACCGTCAAGTATCCCTACTATCCAACTCGATTATAGGTCCGCATTTTAATCATAAAATATTCATAATGTGTTTACTTTTTTAGGAGACGATCCACCTAGAACGATGTACTATGCAAGAGACAGGATAATTGAATTTGGATTGAAAAATGACTACATATCTCAAAAGGTATTGGAATTTGTGTTAAAGAAGAACTGAGATACTCACAATCGTATACTTTTGCATCCTAAATATAAATTGAAAACGGGTATAAATGCTACGACATGTAATTGTGTGTAGGCCTGTAGTTGTGAACTGCTACTAATTTTAATATCTTCATTCGTTCTGTAATCTTGTACTGAACAAACTTTAAGGAATTGTTATTGAATTAATGCATTGGCTAATGTTAGCTGCTTTGTTAATCTTTGTATATATATATCGTATTTTTTTACTTTGTGTTACAATTTTGTGTAAATATAGCATGTATGAATTTGTATTGAGTTAATAAATATGTATACTGTCAAATAGATATAAGTTTTTTTCAACCATTTCCCTATTTAATCCCTAAATTAATTTAAGTTTTTATTAAACAGTATGCTCCCTTATGCGTGAAACAGTTGTACTATTGACTCCATTGTAGATACCCTTTTTAAAAGTAGCAAAAAAGAGTTTTTATGTGTGGAAAGTCAAAAAAATTTTAGAAAAGTCTTTATGATTTACGTAGTTACTGTATTACATAGACTTTCATTACAGATATAAAACATACATATTCACATTTTAAAACAAAAACACTGCATTTTAACAACTAATACAACTTTTACTAATAATTTTTAAAATTAATATAAACTTTTTGTAAAACAGAGTGACTACTTGATACAAAATATCAATAGTATTTTCGGAGTGTGTTCATCCGATGTATGAAAACTAAAATGTTCAGTTGTTCACAACATTAAATCTGTCATGAAGCACTATTGTCTTGGAAAGTCTGACCTTTTAAAGACACAATATCATGCCAAATACAAGCTAGTACAGTCGTGAGAAATGTAAACTTATCAACTGCTGATAACTATACGTCTTTTTAGATAACACGTTTTGTCTGTCCATGACGTCACGAGTTACTATGGCTCTTTCATAGATAGGTCTATTTTTTTAAACTCAAAGTGTTAACCAAAAAGATGATATATTATTTATTCAGATTCGTCTCTCAGGGAATCATTAGTCTTAATCGTAGTTATATTTTATTGAAATGACATTTTATTCCTCATGAACTACTATTGAGTACATTCAAAAGGTAAGTTGTAATACTGAATTATGAATTAATATGCCATTTTAACCATACACTTACGAGTTGAATGAGAGTTTAAACGAACTGTCTCTGATTTATTTGGGAAAAACTACTCTTATATTGTTTTCTGTTATTTTACGTAATACACTTTCATAATTTTCTTTAGCCTATAATGTTTAAACAATTTGTCTAGATACTGACTGGGGGAAATCGTTGTGAATATAGTTTATCCTATACTCTTATATGAGCAATGTTTGCTTGTATGTACGCTTGTAGATAATCTAAAAGGCTTCGAAGATTACCTTCAAATGTTGTAAATAATTTATTTCTGGCCTAAAAACTTGTTTACTGCAGCTAAAACTGCCAAAAAGAATCTAATGACGTAAAAAATTGAAATTGAAAGTCAACGATTTTAAACATTGGCCTCATAGGTTAACAAGTAACCTTGTTGGCCGAACAAAATAACATTGACAAAAGACTTGTAACATGTGTTTATAGCAAGCTATTCACAGTATATACTTTTTTTGTAAGGGAGAGAGGGGGTAAATGCTTTTACGCACACAGGTAGCCAGCCTGTAGTGCGAGACTCCTGAATTTATCACAGACTGCTCACTTAAAATTCCTTCTACTCTGTTGGATACAGACCTGGAATATTTTGTCACATTACTCAAGGCCACGGTATACTAGTAATTTGCAAAATACAGTACAAAAGGAAAAACATCAGTTGTTACTATAGAGCAAAGATTACACTGAAGATTAGGCTACTTGACATAGGGTATAATGTAAATAACTATAGGGCCATGGTCCGGCCCCCAGGTACTTTATATCTTATTTCAACTGTAGCTTAAAAAGTACATTCACACTCATAAAACCTTCTAGAATCAGATTTATTAAAATATAGGGCTTAACACGTTATGTCCAATGGAGTAAATTTTGTATTGCCTACATAAGAGTGTCTTCTTCAAGGTTAGTTATCCTTATAGGAATTAGGTGTTGGTTTTCTACTGCAGCCAGGGAAAATAGCTAATAACCTACTCCAATGTTTGTGTAATTTATTTATAGCCCAGGCAAATTAGACATATGCTCCCCAAAAAATCTTCTAAAGCTGGAATGTGTTTTAATACCTTTTGGGGGTCCCAAATAAGAGTCCTGTGAGCTTGCGACGGATTCTGACGTCTGCTTAAGTTTTGGGAGTCGAAAAACTATGAAAATTTTGCACTTTTTAAAGTTTTTCGCTTATAACTCCTAAATAACGAATCCTACGGCAAATTTTATTTAAGGTCTCTTTTAGTACATAAAAGTCTGCGTCGATTGGTGTTAAATACGTCAAAATCGGCCGAGCCGTTAAGCCACTGTAGCTTTTTAAAGTTGGATAATTTTCATCAACATGGCCAAAAAGTTGATTATTTGACCATTGATTATTCGGCTTACAACTCCTAATCGACGCTTGCTATACAAAAATGCACCTGTAGTTAGTTTGGAAAACACAAAATTCTGCGTAATATGTTTGTTTACCAATCAATAATGGTAATTGATTGCTACCTACTGTGTATGGTCGCCATTTCATTAAAAAAAAAATACTAAAGTTTAAGTTGGAAAATTGTACTAAAACGAATATTTAATATTAATATTTTTTCAATGAAATGGCGAACATACAAAGTAGGTAGCAATCAATTGCCATTATTGATTAGTAAAAAAAACATATTGTGCAGAATGTTGTCTTTTCCGAACTAACTACAGGTGCATTTTTGTATAGCAAGCGTCGATTAGGAGTTGTAAGCCGAAAACTGGTCAAATAATCAACTTTTTTGCCATGTTGATGAAAATGACCTAACTTTAAAAAGCTACTGCGGCTAAACGGCTCAGCCGATTTTAACACCAATTGACGCAGAATTTAATGTACTAAAAGAGACCTTTGAACAACATTTTCCGTAGGATTCGTTATTTAGGAGTTATAAGCGAAAAACTGGAAAAATGCAAAATTTTCATAGTTTTTCAACTCCCAAAACTTAAGCAGACGTCAGAATCCGTCGCAAACTCACAGGACTCTTATTTGGGACCCCCAAAAGGTATTAAAACACTTTCCAGCTTTAGACGATTTTTTGGGGAGCACTCCCTATATTTGATCTAATTTTCCTGGACTATTAGAAATCTGACTCAAATATATTTTCAGACAATATTAACAGATGTATTATGTCCAACACTCTCAAAGGATTGACAGACCTGGGTTTAGAATTATCAGCAGAGATGAGTGGGGAGCAGTTGACCCGTTGTGGGTAAAGTTTCTCGCACTTCCCGTGCAACATGTGTTCTTCGAGTATACCAACACGGACGAGTGCACTAATAGGGAGGAGTGTATGGAGATGATCAGAATTATTCAGCGTTACAATCTGAAGCTGAGATCCAATCCTGACATACGTTACAAGTAAGTAAATTAATTAGTATAAACAACGAGGGTGTATTTGTTTACAAGTGATTTTCAGGTACGATTTGGTTTTGTACACAGCGTAGGTCAAAACTCAATCCATCAACATAAAATAGTAGAAACTGTATCTAAACTTATTAACTCAACTTATTTTGAGGTTAAATTAGCTATTTGTCTATTAAGTACACAATGACTGTTTGTGCTCGTAATACACACTAGATTTTTCTTACAACTATAATAAACATAAAAGTATATTAACTTTATAGATGTAAGTAAAATGTCAGTAAGGTTATGTTTTTTTTCTAAGAAATTCAACTTACATAAACATTAACAATAACAAACAATTAATACACAACATCTGTTATGTCAAATGCCCTTAAAAAAAGCAAAGTCTTTGTATTTTGTTGGGGGCTTGGAAGTTCTCGTAAGCATTTTCTGCTGTTGTTGGGACCTAAGAGAAGAATAGAGTACACATCTCAGGCCAGCATACGGACATGATTTTCAAAACAAGAAAATGGAACCTGTGCAAGTACAGCAGAAAAGGCATAAGATAACTTCCAAGTCTTCAACAAAATACAAAGACTTTGTTCTAAAAAAAATAGCATGTGACATAACAGCTGTTATATCAAATAAAGGTTATGCTATTTCTCATCAGCTGTTAACTAACGCACCAGACCCGAGGCTGTGTTTGGTCTAGAAACGACTACTGGAAAGTGGTGTTTTAGCAAGAGGGAATAATTATCTATTCCCACTCTAGAGCAGCAATGATCTGTTTTGCGGACTGTATTTATGGCAATGTGATAATTTCCATGCAGTGGAAGGAAAATGTATTTTTCAAACAAATTTAAGACACAGGCCTAAAAGATAGTTCAAAGATGGATTGGAACAGGAGGAACTCAAAATAAATCAAGTATTTTATACGTGAACTGCAAAACATTTAATAAACCTTACAGGCGTAACTTGACCAATAAATAGGCTAGAATAATACATAACAACAGCACTGTTTAATTATGTTGAAATATCAAATTCTTAATGATCGTATATGACACATATGCAACAAGAAAAACACATTTAAACAGAAAAAACTAAACAAACAATAATTAACTTGTATATCTAGATAGGCTTCTACGGTCACTTAATGTAGAATCGTGGTCTTGGCCGACAGTGTCAAAAATTGATTTGTCGTCTGTGAGGAGTCAACTCGCCCTGAGGATGGTGTGTGAAACGTCGGCAAGTGTTGTGTTTCGTCATTTTTGCCACGTCGTCGCCTGAAGACCTCGATTCTTTAATAATTAACTAGTTACAATAAATAATACGTAAAACAAATAATTTCTGAACGGTGAGGAATGGTTTGTTATTTATGATTTTAGTTTCCTAATTGCTTCTGATGGCACCGTCTACGAGGGCCGCGGATGGGACTCAGCTCCTCGACTGCCTCAAAAATACAGTAATGTCAGAAGAAAAGCTCTTTACGTTGCCCTCATAGGGAACTACATAGGTAAATGGTCAACAAAGTCACTTAGCAGATTGTTACTGCTTTGTGGCTGTAACCTTTTTAAAATTAGTTTTTTTATTCCATGATAGGAAGTCTGGAACCAATTCACAAATGACTTCAGACTATGTCTAGGGTTCATGGCATTATGACTTAAATATTTGTTTACGGTAGGCTAGATTTTACCCCATAATAGGACAATAGGATCTAGTCCAGAACCGATCCACAAATGAGTTCAGACTAGGCCGATGGGTCATGGTATTATGACTTAAATATTTGTTTACGGTAGGCTAGATTTTACCCCATAATAGGACAATAGGATCTAGTCCAGAACCGATCCACAAATGAGTTCAGACTAGGCCGATGGGTCATGGTATTATGACTTAAATATTTGTTTACGGTAGGCTAGATTTTACCCCATAATAGGACAATAGGATCTAGTCCAGAACCGATCCACAAATGAGTTCAGACTAGGCCGATGGGTCATGGTATTATGACTTAAATATTTGTTTACGGTAGGCTAGATTTTACCCCATAATAGGACAATAGGATCTAGTCCAGGACCGATCCACAAATGAGTTCAGACTGGGCCGAGGGGTCATGGTATTATGACTTAAGTAAATTTTATTAAGGTAGGCTAGATTTTACCCTGGGACTTCAGAAATCGCATGACTACTTTATATTATAACATTAGCCCTCTGAGGGTACTACTAACCTCACGTATGTAATTCCACTAATTATCTTAAGGGTGTGCTCTACCTCAGCTCGGATTTCTCAGTACGATGTTGCTAACGCAGACCATTGCACTGAACTGGGCCATGAAGAGCACTTGCAAGCCTTTTGAATCTGGGTGATTACATCGTTATCCTCAAACCTTTTAGTAAACTAACTGCAGATTATTGTTTTTAAGAATTTATTGCACTTTCCCCGTTTGTTATTTCTTCTCTAAAAATAATTTGTATGCGTTAAAACTTATAAAAAAACGTTTCTTTAAAATGTTTACCAACTTTTTGGCCCAACTTTTTTTTATATTATAAATCACAGGACCTACAATAATATGTAACAAAAAATATGACACCAAGATCTTTTGAATTGGTTCACAATTGGGGCTACAAACAGTGAGAACCAAAACCCTTGCATTTGCGAGCGCCAGAGCGCAGCCTTAAGGCCATTCAACATATTTTATATAGACACTTTGTAGAATTGTTTAAAAAAATTCAGTTTATATTTTCAAAATATTATAATAATAAACTTAAGTACCTCTTTAATTATAACTTTTGGTAGAGCATTACATATGTGTCCCTTCCATAACAAAAACAACACCCTTTAATGATAAACACTGTCCCATTTTTGAAATATCTTTCTCTAAGTAATGACATCTGGATTATTATATTTCATAGTCCATAAATAAGTTTACCAGATAGGTATTTTAGTAACCAATACTCGAAGAAAGAATTAAAGTTCTTGGCTTATTCTGATGCTCAGATATGGCTCCTTGAGTAGAGTTCAATCACACTGCTTTTGGTTTAGTCATATTTAAATCGGTTTTTAGAAGTAGATACAATTAATCGTGGTGGAAGTAAAATAATACAAATAGAAAAATAATCAGATTCTTAAGGTATCAATTTTGTATAACACCCCCAATCAATAGAAATATGCCAACTAACCTAAGGAGTTAATATAGGAAATCCTTAAATATGTGCCACTTATATTTTACACATGTGCTAAAAATATATCTAAGAAAACGTCAACATATTTCATAGGATCTTTGAATGATTAAACGTTTTTATTAACCACACTTATTTTAGCGGATAGTAAATAAAAGAAACGTCTTATAACACTTAAAACATATATTTACGCTTATACTGTTACTCACAAGACAGTAAATATACAAAAAAGATGGTAAGTGGTGATCGATTTCGATTGGACCCTCCAATCATCATCAGACCTAATAGGCGAATGACAAGAATCTTGAATGGCGTCCCTACTTATACCCTATTGGCTACCGGATTCTTGTAATTCGCCTATTGGGTCTGATGATGATTGGAGTGTCCAATCTAAATCGACCACCACTTACCATCTTTTTTGTATATTTACCGTATTGTGAGTAACAGTATAAGCGTAAATATATGTTTTAAGTGTTATAAGATTTTTTTTATTTACTTTCCGTAAATTTAATAACACGTACAATGCTGATCAAGAAGTTACTTATTTTAGATAATTCTTAATTCCCATAAACATTTTCCTTGATTTAATATTTTTATTATGTTCCAGATAAGGCTCCCAGTGAAAAAATGTTTCAGGCCAGATCCGACCTAGTCGAACACGGAGTTTCACTAAAATATGTCAGTGCAAAGCATTTAGAGTACAGCATTGTAACTCCAAAAGTCCCAGGGACTTTGGATAATTAGACATGTTTGAAAAATAGTGTATATAGTTTGAAGTTAAACAAATATAAAGTGTTTTTATAAATTTAATTTACACAATTTTTTACCTACCTACACATTGAGAAGCGTAAACGAAGCAATACAACCGTACTTCATTAAATTATTATAAATGTGAAAGATCGTATGTTTGTTTGTTTGAAGTTCAATCACGCACTGGTCAGATTGGGCTGAAATTTGGCATGATGATAGCTCACATTCTCGATTAACATATAGACATATTATTATCGCAAAAATCCTTTCGGGCTCCGCACCAGTGGTTCTGGAGTTTTCCATGTTAACCTTATGAGTATTCATATTAAAAAGGAATTAAATAATTGTAACACCTTTTCTAACTAAACAAGTTGGATCTATGATATTCAATAGCATTAAAACAGTTATAAGGTTTACCAACAGGGTGCAGCACGATTAGTATGTTTTTCATTTAACTCATAACTCATAACTCATTTATTGAACCAAAATAACAGATACAAAATTTGCATTGGTCATGTCAAATAATAGAACTAAAATTAAAATAAACAATAGACAATGTTGCTTCAATAAAACAATATCAATTACTTCTTACAACAAAAAAAAACCAACTAACTAAACCCATCAGCGACACAATCTCGAACACTGTAGTAACCCTTGGCCAAGAGTATTTTTTTGATTTGCTTTTTAAAACTGTTCAAGTCCGACTCCAGCTGAAGGGAGGGAGGGAGGAGATTAAAAAGTTTAATGCCATTGTAATGAAAGTGTCTCTTGAAAAATGTAGTTGAATGAGATGGTAATTTAAGATGAGAATTGTTACGTAGTGAATAGGAATGTGTAAGTGAAGATTGGTATTGGTGTAAGTTTTTTTTAATGAGAATCAAAGTTTTCAAAATGTATATTGAGGGAAATGTTAAAATTTGTGATGAAATAAAGTATTGCCTGCAAGATGTTCTTCTTTTCAAACCAAAGACTGCCCTAACTGCCCTCTTCTGGAGTCGGAAAAGGAAAGAGGTTTTCCCACACTCACACCCCCACACCGGCACTGCGTATATCAGGTGCGGGAAAATCACTCCATAATATGCTGTAATTGGAACATCACATTTTGCAAACTTAAGAAGTTGGCGGAGAAGAAAGATTCCCGAAGAAATCCTTCTACACACAGTGTCAATATGGGAATGAAAGCGCAGGTTTCTATCGAGCACCAATCCCAAGAACTTAACCTGATCAGTTGCCTCGAGCTCAACATCATTCAAAAGGAAATTGTTTTTGTTTTTCCCAGCTGAACTTATAGAAAAATTTACAAATTCAGTTTTTCTGGCATTTAGACTCAATGAGTTGTCCTCGAACCACTGCATCATGGAGCTCGCTTGCAAAAAGGCCTTTATTTCGAGTTCATCGAAATTTTGATCAGAAACCGAGAGCGACGTGTCATCAGCAAACAGACAAATGTTTCCAGAATTTACAATTGATGGAAGATCATTCACAAAGACAAGGAACAACACCGGACCGAGGACTGACCCCTGAGGCACGCCACGAGCAGACTCGCAATGGGGTGAGCGGTAGGTATTCAGATATCCCAAGTCATCCACTGCCTGAATCATCACAAACTGCTTCCGTCCTGAAATGAATGACTTAAACCATTGCAGTGCCAGCCCTCTATTTATGACAACAGCTTATGAACTAAACTACAAAAAACACAACACACAACAAGAACTTTCAAAGTAGGAAATTTATGTTTTTAACTCAATAAATAATGTCTCTTATTGTGCAAATGGGTGATGGTTTAATTTTATCTATTGTTTATGTGCAGTGGCAGGACATTATGGCTATGGTAGATGTGTTTTACTAAAGCATACCGAAAATTTTAAGAACCAAATTTTCTCAAAACTTTTCCTGTTCTCTGTCCTCTTCCATTGCAAACGTAAAGCAGGAGTACAACACTATTGTTCAGTTCTTTCACCAAATAATTTTCTTTAGCCTTTATTTAGAACAGCTGATGTTTAAAAAATGATTCAAACTGTATAAATAAATATTATTGATTTCTGTTCTTCTTGAAAACATGACTTATTTTATTTCTCTCTTAATATTTCATTTTTATTCACAAACACTCCACAACTATAATAAGAGTGTTATACTTATATACGCCAAGTGAAGGACAAGTACTCTGCTAGTTGTAATATATTTAATGTATCAATTTGATTCATATTTTTAATACAACAATAATTACTTAGCTGGTTCTGTTTACCATCCACTTACTTTATGTTTGTGTTACATTTAAATTAATAAAAGTTATTACGATGTCAACTGCTGTAAAAAATATAGATTTATGAATTAGGGACTACAGTTTAATTAAGTTACAGTATCATTGCAAAACTATTGTTTCTTTATTTTTGTTTGTTTTTGTGTTTCTAAAATGCAGTATTTGGAACCTTGGTTAATAAATTGTAAATTGAGTACGTAAAACAAAGTTCCCAAATGAGTTGTCTAATTTCACAGAAACACCACTGTCTTTTACGCACTACGTTCTTCGTTAAGTCACGATATATGTTCAAATGAACAAACTTGGCAAAGCTGTGAGTAAAACCAAGTAACAGATAGCTGATACAACTATCACGGATTACATATTTCGTTGAAAAGTAACGACATGACATAAGAAATTGGACTGATCTCTTTTTGGATATTTTTTAACTCAAAATAATTCGTTATTATTTTTCTACTCAAGTTGAATTAGAGGTAATTTACGAAACAGTATTAATAGCTATGTTACAATCTAAAATTGTTTGTGCAAGTAACATATATTTTACTATGATGTTTTACGAACAATAATTTAAATATATTTTTATGTTTGATATTAATATCTACGATTTTAATGTTTTTGTACACTATTCTATATTTAAAATTTTGGGTTTTATATATGTACGTTAATAATATACAATAATACAAAGTACTCATAATATAATACAAAACAATATACTGCTATTTAATATCAGTAGGTGAAGAAATTGTAATTATTCTTATCTAAATTGGTACGATAGCAAAATAGATTCAAACCCTGTGTTTGGTACTATGAGTGAAGTAAAAACTGTGTAAACATGGAAGGTTATATTGGCCAAGTGAAGAAATTGAACGATGGAATCAGATGCTATACTACTTAAAGGATTCCTGTTATAGAAAAAATAATGTAAGTAAATTATATTTTTGTAGTAATATATGATGTCTATTTAAACATTAACCAAACGGGTCTTTAGGAGAGTAATAGGTATTAACCATGCTTCTCATAGGGCTAGTAAAAATTTTGGAGACCCCCCCCCTGTTAATTTTTTACGGCCCATTCTTTTATCACGACCTTTAAAATGAGCGGTCACTTGATGGGGCCTAACATTAAATTTTTCTGAGTTTCCCTCAAAATCCCCCATTTTGGGTTTGGGAACCAAGTAGCAATTAGGCTAAAAAAATACTTAATAACATTTCAAAAGGTGTGCAGAGCTTAGTTTTTCTAGTTTGAGCCGTTAAAAAAATTACAGGGGTCTCCAAACTTGGAAAGCTGTAAGCTAAATTAACTTCTGAGAATTTCTATCGGCTGCCCTTTTTTACTGCATTGAGAGAGAGACCTCTGGTTTGCGTTATTGGTTTTCTTTTACCAGGACCTTCAAAATGAGGGATCACTCGTTGGGAATTTTTTAGTTCCCCCCAAAATCCCCCATTTTGGTGATTTACACAAAGTGGCGGTTATCCCCAAAAAGTACTTCATAACATGCCATAAAGGTGTGCAGAGTTTAGTTTTTCTAGTATGGGCCGTTAAAAAAATTAACAGGGGGTCTCCAGACATTTTATTAACCCTGTATTTTGAAATTTACAAAAATAGTCAAGTTTATGTACCCGTTTGAGGACATACAGTTTGAAGTATATGTTTTCCATATTTCCTTACTGAGATCCTGTGATAAATTTAAATACACGTATACTCTACGTCCCAATAGGCCTATATTTGCCTCAAATATTTGCGAAGGTATTTTAAGGGGCTTAGTAGTAGGACTAATATCATTGGTAAAATTACCTAAGTGATTCAATTAGCACCAGCTATAATGTATAATCATTTTATTCTTAATAAATGAATGAAGGCAATTTAAAATTAACCATCGTTGCAAAATACCCATATGGTTTTCAAAATTGGATCAAGAACGCAAATGTATTGTATAAAGATGTTGGCTTACAAAGATTAACATGTTTTGTTTATTATGTCACACTCATTTGGTTCTTTTTCTTTTTTTACTACTTCACTAAGTATACTACACGCAACATAACTTTGAGAAAAACGCCTATATTAGCTGTGTTATTTTTTATAACTTGTTAAGGCTTATAAGCTGCTCCCCTAGTTACTTACCAGTTACTGATGATCCTGTTTCGTTAGCCAGGATTTATTTCAATTTCCATTTATTTCAAGCCTAATGATCAGAGACATCTGAGTCAGGATTCGAACAGTCAAAAAGCTACTAACTTTTCTCAGAGTTGAACCGATGACATTAGATTGCTAGGCGAGCACTATAACCACTCAGCTACCCAGCCAATGTATAAGAAAGTAACTGACAATGATAGGAAAGTAAAGAAAATCAATGTTTCGAATTTTATTTTAAACTTCTCTTACATAAATTGCAATTTTTTTAATGTTTTAGAACCATGGATCGTGCAAGGTTGAAATTTGAGCCTGCAACTTTTACTCCGCTCCAACGAGAAGCATGGGAAGCTGAGTCGCCCCGAGGACAGTTAGACTACTTAACAGATCCTGTGACAGCTGTGTTCTGTGGCCTGAGGACCAATTCTAAAGGATGCTCACACACAGACCACTGCAAGATGCTCATGAGAGACATGCAAAGAAGAGATATGGAGGCCGGCCTACCAGACATAAGATACAAGTAATTCAGCCATATTGTATTAACTAATTTTCTCAATTGATTTATAAATATTCAAGTGATGATTTTTATCACCCTTTCTAGACGTTCTGGACTAAGAGGCGAGATATGGAGGTGGCCTACCAGATATCAGATAAAAGTAATTTAGCCATATTGTGTAAAACTAACTTGTTTTTGTTCTTACTTTCTAAATTGATTCATATTAATCATGATGTGTCCTACCAAACCCTTTTTAGACGCCCCGTTAAAGTCTCTTACTATACCAACATCCCATTAAGCTTTTGCGACCTTAGTCTTGGATCCATTTATTCAATAGCCCGTCCTTCTAGTATAACTAACTACACAATTGCATTTTGCCGTCTTAAATATCTACCTAAATGTCTTCTGCAGACTTAACCGTTTACCTATTCGACTTACTTATTCTCAACTGTTTGTTTAGTATCCTTCTGAAATCTCAACAGTCTAGATGGTTAGGCTACAGATCTAATTTTATCTGGTAGTGTTCTGCAATCTTAACTGCCCTTTTGGGAACCTTAAGCAAACTTACCGGTCTACCTTGTGGATTCTTAGCACATGGCTTCCACCATTGTGTTAACCTGTCAACTTACATGGTCTTCTGCCGTTATAATTGTGTAACTTGTGAGCTAATACTATCATAACTATATATTTAGGTTGTATTATTGTGGACTAATAATTATCCTTTATTATGTTGCATAAGGTTAACGTCGTTATATATTTTGCGCAATTATCAAATTAATAAGTAGGCTATTATTTCATCGTTTGGCCTTAATCAATACGTCTGCTTTAAGCTAAACAGTTTTCAAAATGTGTTCAATATTAATTTTTTTATATTGCCTTAGCATAGGCTACCAAGCTATTCCTGTTTAGTGACTTTTTCTTATTCAAGCAAATTGATGTTTTCCCTACATACATGTATTGAAGTATTTAGGCCTACCAATTTTTCTTTTTTTTAATATCAATATATTGCTTCCATTTTGTTTAAATATTTGTAAGATTTCTAATGAACATGTTTTCTTCCTTTAAACTTTAAGAGCACTTGTGCAACTTATCACACCATTAAAACTAGTTAAGAAATATTTAGTAGAGTTTTATTCATTGAACAGTCTGTATCAAACCAAACAAAAGATTTTTCTCAGTTTCTGTATAGGCGGTGACGGAGAGGTGTATGAAGGAAGAGGGTGGGCCTCAAGACCATCTCTGCCTTCAAGGTACTCCAAGTGGGTCTCTCATAGTCTTTATATAGCCTTTGTGGGTCCTCTGACAGCAGGAGGTGGGTAGTTTATCATTGAAAATATTTTGAAAGTAAAAGTTATAAAATCGTTAATCAAATTTCAAAGGTAACCAGTGTTGATTTCATGAGTGTATAAAACATAAATGTTTAGTTTTAACGATGTATTGCATTATCATTTTACACGTATGTAATTTATTCAAAAGTATAAAAATTCTAATTGCTATGCATTGATTGCTTTGTAAAAATATTTTTTTACCGGTAGTTGGGATATTTTATAACAGGCTATATGAACTGAGAAAATCTTAGGATAACATGAACTATATTTTTTTCAACAGTCCCTGGGTTGATGAATTTTAATGTGCTCACCTAAACCACGTTTTCGTCCAAATAAAAAAACAAAAATAGAGAATAGTCCAGGGGCAGCTAGCATTATTAAAAAATCAAAATAAAATTGTTCAAATGCATTTAAGTCAGTTATTAATAGAAACTATATCCTTCTATTCTTTTTGTGTGCAAATTACACTTTTCAATAAAACTAGACAATGCTGCACGGCAATTTTAATGACATGAGGAACAAAACCAAATAGTTGAAAAGGTCCCATTATTCACTATACTAGTCTTAAAAATGAAGGGCTCTTTTATTAGCAAATAAATATAATAAGTCTAATATCTTTATTTCATGCCATTCTGTAAGTAGTTATTACAATTTCGTTCTGCTTCTAGGAATACGCCCGAGTCAAAAAATGGTCTTCCACAGAAACCTTCTTGTGGAGGCGGGACTAAGGGATGACATTATAAACAGGAAGTTCATGTTTATACTACTGTACAAGATATAGGAAATTGTGGAATCAAAGTCATTTCTGGCTAGTATCACTTAGTGCTTTTGAAAAATGAACTTAAACCTGTGATTCAAAACTAAAAGTGGCGTGGGTGTAATCGTAATATAGTGTACATATGTATTTTTTAAATATATTTTTTAACTTAGAGTAAAGTAAATTAACTTTCAAGCCTTTTGAGTTGTATATTTTTTTATTACTTCGACAGAAAAAAAAAACTAAATTTACTGAAGTATAGAGTTTGGGGATTCCAGCAATTTTAGAACATTTTACATGATAGCCCATGATTTGTAAAGTTTAGCGTCTTTTGATTTCCAGCAATGGGTGTTTTATCAATGGAATTTTAGATCATCAAAGTTTTATTAATAATCTACTCAGTAAAAAAGTAATGTTGATATAATAAGTATACAGGGTGAATCAGACCACCCGTGCACATACTTTGACGGGACATAAATACAGCCGCTTGTGTAACTCACTGACTCACATCAGTTATGGATATGTTTACCCACTTCTAGAATAGCTGGGGGTCTGCAATCTTTTGTGGAGGTCCATTTTGGTCCCATGCCAACCAGGAAATTAAAAAGCTAAATTTTCAAATTTCAACCCTCCCAAAATATTCCTTTAAACTCCTCGTTTTTAACACGTCTATAGCTCGAAAGCGCTAAAAGCTAGCAAAGATTTAAAAGAATTTCCATGGTCAGGAATTGAATTTCCCTCAAGATACTTTAAGAGGTTTTTCGAGAATCGCACTTGTCATTTTTCTAATCAAAGTGATGCTTTAATAAATTATTTAAATTTGAAATGTAGGTTTTATTCGAAATAAATAAGCGCAAAATTGACATATGATTGTAAATGTATAAGCAATATTACGTTAAATACTATGATTAAATTTATATCTCCACGAATCCAATTCTTATAATGCAAAACTCGTAGTTATTGCAATCAGAAAGTGTATGAAAGCCGTATAACCTATTCTGTTTGTGTAGCTGTCCTAAAAGCATTTTACGTATTGGTCCCGGATTCGCAAGTGATTGAACCTCTGTCATTTAATCATAGATAGTTTGTTTTAGAGTTCATGACCACTTTCATGTAAAATTTAATATAGACAGGATTAGTAGACTGGATGGGAAATTGTATTCTCTTGGATAGATGAAAGTGATGTTTTTTTTACATTTGCTAGAATATATTATTTATGTTAGCCTATTTCCTAATTCTAATGAATTGTAGTGCTGTTTTTAAATTATATTTTACTTTATGAGTTCTTCGTTCTCTCTAAACCTAAATTTAGAGCTAGATGGGTAATTTAAAACTAAATCATTATATGGATCACTAGTTTCACTTTTTTCTAAGTAATTTAAAATGAAAAAAAAACAAGGGGCCTTTTCATGTTGTAAAAAATATGACCAGTAGAGCAAGCATATAAAACTTTAACTATAAATTATATATTAATTATAATCATATTATTGGGAACTATAACATCTAAGTATAAAACATGAATTAATTATGTTATACCATTGAAATCAATGTTTCGTTATTATTTATGGTAAAAAACGTAACTAGGGACGATGCCAATATCTCATACGCTATTAGAATTAGTGAACACATTGGAGAACCACACAAATTTTTATCACATAAAAACAGTATTTATACTTTTTAAAAATGGGCGCCATTTTGTGATATATGGGCTAAAATTAAAAGTTCTTATCGAACACCTTTTCATTAGTGTCTTTTTTTATGTTCATGCAATCAAAAAACGTTTTTATTATTCAAACCTTTTCTCTGACGCTAGTAATTATATCTAAGCTATTATATTTAAAACTATATAAGAAGGTATGGCGTGTTAAACCTTGGAAAAAGTCGCTTGCTGCGTACTCTACATATGCTCTAGCTTGTAGCTCCTTAACGAGTAAGTTCTGAGAAGGAAATGTGAGGGATTAAACGTTTAAATTTATTTACATTCCAAAATAAACATAAACTACAATGTGTTCAATAATACAGTTTAAAGTTAGCCTCTAAAATAAAAAATTGAGCCACTTTTTTATAAAGTTCATATTTTTAATGTCACAAGAAAATAATTATTCGCAATTTAATGTTCTTTAAGTCAAATTGTTTCTGAGATACCAAACCAAAGGTGTAAAGTTAAGTTGGTCACCCTGTATTAGCCTACTTGCCATGTAATACATTTAAGCTCTTATTAATCTAATGTTAGCCAGATAACGAATCTCAAATTTTAACGTTTTTCTTAGTATTTATAAGTCGTTAAAATAATTCATAGTTGATTATTAATGATAAACTTTACAGTAATTTACAAATAGCATATCTTCCTCTCATCATTCGAGTGTCATGCTCTTGAAATGTATTTTTACTATTCAAATACATAAATACGTAAATACTATATGAGTCTTGTGTGGATATGTAAAAAAAGTTTCAAACACGGCTACCCGTGGTCATAAGCTATTCCTATCTGAAAAGAATATTGAAAGAGAACTTTAAAGTTATATTTTAGCTGCGGTAGGACCTTGAACTTTGAAGTTGTTATAGAAGTCACAGGCAGCTTGGGGCGTTGAAACTTACTGTCAAACTTGACATTCGGAGGGAAGATAACGGTATGGCAATAACTTTTGTCTTTATACGTTTTTAAGCATAAATAGTTTAAAATGTAAAAATATGTTCTTTTTTCATGCAGAGATATACACTCAATTTAGATACAAATATGGTTTCCAGTACCTTTTTGCCATTATTAAAACATCAATAACATTTTAATTTTATATCTAAAAGATATCTATTAATAATATAAAATTGTGATACTATGAGTATAAATGGTACAATATTGTTTTATAGCAAATAAAGAACTGCAACTAAATAATTAATTTAGGAGTATCATATAATAAATTGTACCAACAATCATATCATAAAGCGTATACGATTTTAACCCAATTTACTTCGGTAAATTTACGAGTATAAGATTTTAGTATTAAGAGTTTTAATGGTACATTATTTTTTATAGCAAATATTGAATAGCAACTAAATCGTGTTTTTTTTTAGAATATTATAAACATAAATTGTACCAACCGTACATGATTCTGAACAAATTTATCTCGGTAAATTCACGAAATTTAGATTTTGGTCTTAATCTGTGCTATTTATGGATCAAATAACCAAAATTTAGTTGTGTTACACCATATATATGTACAATGTTTATATGTTTAATATGCTCTTTGTAAACCATATTGGCATGAATAGAGAAAAAACAATTACGTTGAAGTTTGGCAAGCTTCTGGAGTGCTTGACGATAGTCATTAAGTCGTAATCAATAATTCACCCGTATTTGAATATAAAATCAATCAGCAGACAAGTTCAATTCGGAAACTTCAATCAACAGTTAGGTATTCACCTCTTCCTGAGTTTCACGAGCTCATTCAATTATTAGTTTCCCGTTCGCTTTCAAAACATCTAGTGCACTTGATTGAATTTCTCATAATTGCGTTCGTCGAACAAGTTTTTTTATATGAGACAAGATATATTACCTTTAATTTACACTCTTTTCATACCTATCTGCGAAAAAAAGTTTATCATCATACTGTCCAGATAACAGCTGATTTTTCGGGCAACTTCAAATAGGGAACTGAAAACAAAAACATATGGTAAATTTTTCGGTTCCCTAACCTAAAAATTTATTGCGTAGTCATTTATTATATTTATTGCGTATCAAAACTCTTCTTATCACACGATGTTTTAGTTTTGTTTGTAAACAACAGAAGTGTTGATGTTGATGACGGCTTTGTATAGCCTAAAAGGGTATTGTTGGTACTTAATCGTATTTCCTATACTCCGCGCCAAAGCTGGTGGCGGCTGAGGGATTAGGACGGCCAGGTCGGTGAGCAGGGCCGACTTATGTAGTCCTACCTGGCCGTCCTAATCCCTCAGCCGCCACCAGCTATAGTAATACACGATTACGTACCAAAAAGAGCCACTTTGCTCCTATTGATGAGGCTACTATTGTTAAGTCGTGGACTCAATCGTATTTGATTTTGCAAATATTTACTGTACTCAACACAACGGTCTGATCACATCCTAATAATAAATTCAAAGGACAGTATGTAGAATCTGTATGTATACTGAATGACAGGTATTGCTTATAACCTTTACTGAATGCGAAATGTTATTTGGTAAATATAACCAGGATAGAAAGCATTTATTTTTATCAAACTTGTAATTTGAATTACGTAATGATTACATGCACCGTAGTTAATGAAATGATAGGATCACTTTTCAGTTAGTCCAAACATATATATAATTACTTTAGGTATGTCAAGTCCTATAATAGACATAGAGAAACTTCAAACCCACCATTTCTCGTTTGCACTTTGAACAAGATTTAAATCTCTAATTGGGTTGGTTTTTACCAGAAGAGTGATTTACATGTCCATCAGCTAGGGAGCATGCAGTCGTGACACAGGGAATATCAAAGAGATTGTGTGGATTTTGAATTGACATGCACATGCCACAGCGTTGCAAATGAACCTTTTGATGCTCTATTTGCCAACCGTATGTTTTACCGAACTGTGACGGTTATAGAAGATTTTTTTTGTATTAGTTACTCAAATATAAAAACCTACCCTTATAATGTGGCTGGGAAGCAAACTGGTCTAGTGGTATCGGCAAGTTTCGAATCCTGGGGTCGTGGGTTCAAATCCCACCTGTCACCAACGGATTTAATCCATGTAATAATGACGTGACCTTGAAGTGATATGTAAAACATTTCTGGGCTAGAACCTAGCAGCCTAGGATGTAAAGTTGGGACACATAATCCCTTATAATGTAGATGTAAGGGTCGTAAAAGAATTATTGTCTCTAGAAAATAATTTTTGGTTAAGAGTGGGAAGTATTCGTAGCATAGCTACTGTAGAGTACGTTTAAATTATTAATTCACCTATTCTGCAATAGAAATCAAATTCCTAAAGATATCTTCTTGATCACTAGTGCTCCCCTTATGTCACTCCTGAGAAGTAAAATAAATGTATTTACCCTTTCAATACAAGGAAAATTCAATCACTTATACATAATTATTTTTAAGACCAATATAAATGCACTTAAAATATATAAAGATGGATTGATATAACATGCTAATTCATAAAAAAATACAACGGAACTGGATAGAACCACAAAACTTTAATGTTTATCGTTATAAACATAATTGTTAGATCCACAATATTGTTGTCTGTGAATTTCTGAAGTCTTCCATAAAACACGCCGAAATGTATTTGTTCAAAACATAATCACATAATTTTGAATTTTTTTTCAACTGCTCTTCCCTATGCGTAAAGTCTTATTTGGGGTAATTACAGATTCCTGAGCAGTTTTAGATGTTAAACACCTATGACTATTGCTGTCTTGCGTTTTAAGTTTTTTACTCACCAACTCATCCTGGTCTAGTATTTTTGTAGTTTGACGGAAAATTAGCATGCAAAGGACCAAAATAAGAAGAAAAAAATTATTAGTAATTTAAAACATATTTGCTACAGACTGAGATGCTAGAAGTTGTAACCAGAAGAGAATGGGGTGCAGTAGAAGCGTCAAGGGTAGAATACATACGGAAGCCATCAAGCGTCAAATACATTTTCCTTGTATCCACTCATCAAGTCAAATGCAACGACGCCACCACTTGTCAACGAATAGTGAAGGACATACAGCGAAGGCATATCACGTTTCATAGAGTTCCTGATATTAAATACAAGTAAGTATTATGTGTATTTGAATGTGAATATTACTAAATAATGTAGCTAAGAAGCATCCTGGCCTTTGAATCCAAATTATAACGCTTATTTTACACTATACGGTTACGGCTTACTGACGTACGGTTAAAAACAGTACGCATTTCAACCGTTTCTATGTTTCTTTCACATTACAAGGTTTCCGAATGTACAGTGACAATGTGTTTACAAATTAAGAATAAACAGATTCCATCGACACAGCAGATTGTAAACTATAAACATTGTATTGACTATTTGAACTGGCTGGTGGGCTTCAGTTCGATTAAAAATCGTGCAGTATGAAATTTGCATTTAACAACACGCGCCACTGACGAACGGCCACGGCTTGACAACCGTCCGTTCAGTGACAGTGGACGGCCGAAAGACGGCACGGGTTTCTGCCGTCTCTGTAACCGTGTAGTGTGAAAGCTTTCATGCCCTTTTGAATAGCATAGTGAGTAGTGCAGTGTGAAAGAAGGGTAAGAGTAAACTTCCCTAGAGGAATGAAGAAGAACATGCGAACTTTCATACAACTCGGTTTCGGTGGTACTAGAAACCTGTGCCGTCTTGAAGCCGTCCAATACTACTGAACCGGACGGTTGCTGCGTCGTGGCCCTGCTTCAGTGGCACATATAGTTAAATGCACACTGTTTATGATTAATGTGACATTTTAAACACTTTCATTTCACCGTATGATCAGAAACGGAAACACCATAATGTAAAAAAAATCTACATACAGGGGTAATATAGTACAATTATTGACCGAACGGTAAAAGGTAGTAGGACTGCCTGCATATTTTATTAACGTATCAAAGTGTATATATAAGAAGTCCTCAATATTTTGTTACGTATAGCCTAGTTATTTTCTATTTCAATAACCACATAGAACAGACTAAATAGCACTCTAGATTTATTAAGTGATTTTTTTCTTATATTGACAAGATTTGTCAAGAATAACTGCACAAATATGAGATATTTGACTCATGCATACCCAATCAGGATTGTATTCATCCTACAAAATACTCAGAACAAAGGAGTTATTTAAATAATTATTTTCACTAAAATTATATATTAAATGTGACTATAATTTGTGGCAAAAATGTCTAAACAATATGAACCTCTCTTAAATGAAGCATACTTTGGTAAGATGATACTATATAACATTTTTTTCAGTTTTCTTGTTGGCGGAGATGGCGCAGTATATGAAGGTAGAGGGTTCAATGTCGTGGGAACGATACCATGTCCATATTACCAATTGAGGTTTTCGAGTATAATGATTGCTCTCATAGGAGAGTTCAGTGGTAAGATCTTCATAAAAGCGATAAGTATTTTTATTGTTATACAGCAGTGAACTTAGAGGAGTGAGATAGTTAAGTGATATAACATGGAAATATGCTATCAGTCACCTATATATTTTATCCTAATGATGTCACGATCTACCTCTGAGCCTGGTAAGAAGTGTATTAAACACTATTTCGATTCAAGTGTTGTAGAATGTAAAGGTGCTACATAAAATAATAGTTAAAAGTTTTATTATTATAAAAAACAGATTCCATGATTTTTTTTTTAATTTTGGTTTAAATAATATTAAAGCATAAGACATTTTAATAACAACAATTCAATATTTAGATTTTAAGTAAACTTATATTTTATAGGTTAAAAACATTCATCTAGTAAACAGGGTTTACAGTGTACAGTATATTAAATTGTTTTCTTTTTCAGAGAGTCCCCCACCACTAAACATGCTTGATGCGTTCAGAGGCATCGTCAAAACTGGTATTGACAGAGGGTATATAGCTCCTAAAACGTTGGTTTTCCATCTATAGCACTTGTTGTGTAACTTAAATCAAAACTATTTAAAACACTCTGTAAAATTAGTAAGTAAGAATTTTTGTACGGATAAAATTAATATTTTATGTGTTTAATATTTAAACGCCACAACTCTAGAATCAGGATTTGAGTACTTCTTGAACTTAGATAACCAAGTAGTTATTTGTTATGTTTATTTAGTTTTTGAGTATTTTTTTATAGTTTGGTTAACTCGTTGGGTAAGTAAATTATTATGTGCCCGTTTAAAAAAAAGCTCTTCCAAAGAAAAAAAAAAATATTAAAAAACAAAAGACTATTAATACGTTTAATCTTTTTAGAAAAACGTAAACGCACAATATGTTAGTTTTAATTAGTTGTTGCTCAGCTGGTACAAAAAATTATTTTAGGATAAAAAAATCACTGAAATTATTACTTGTTTTAGTTGTTCCAAATTAATGACAAAGCGTGTTCTAATCAAAAATCCATAAATAAAACCAAAAACTGTAACAAATGTAAATGTTTTATTGAGTCACTTATTATAATATTTTCATAATAAATATAGGCCTTTCATGTATTGTGGTCTAAGACCAGATTAACATGGCAGTGATGAAGGATTAGTTCACAAAAGTGAGGAGTATCCATAGTGGCAACGTTCTGCAATTAGCTTTTGTGAATTATAATCCAGGCTGCTGATTAACACCATTGTTGTGTTAGACATAATTTAATCTTAGCTTAATAATCATTCACTATATTAAAATTATCATGAACACACTTTCAGTGCACATCTAGTTACGAAAGACCAAAAGATTAGACCAATTACAAAATGTATTTTGCTAAAATAAGTCGGTATTATTTGATCTAATAACTGTTATCTTCAGAGGTATGTTATTTGTTTTTGAAAATAGTTAATTAATTGCATTTTTTTGTAATTCTGAGGGTGTAGAGATCTACGTATATTTTAAGAAATATATTATTTGATTGAATAATGTAAGCTAAATTGTCAGTTTTAAGATAACTGTTAATATTATGTTTTTTATTCTTAGTTTTGGGATACAATTCTCAAGCATCATTCTTGCTCTCTTTGAGCAAGTTTTTCATTATCTTCTTTAAAGATGTGTCTCTGAGCACAGAAAGCAGAAATGTAATTGAAAACTTAGGGAACTATTCTTTCACGATCCTTTCGATTTCTTTTCACTTTGATTAGTCTTGTGATCCATATAATAAAAAAAAACTTTAAAGGTAAAGAACTGCCCACGGTTGTGTATTACAAGCTAACAAAAGCAATCAGGATGTTCTGATGTGGCATAATCTCAGCAATTATTATCCATGGCGTTCCTTCTTCTTTGTATAATCTTCTTTCTATGCGAGTCTCAATCTTCAGACTTTACACAGGGAAATAAATCTTCCTTTAATTTAGAATAGTATTTTGTTAGGAAGGTCATTATGTTGTGCCAGAATTTGTTTAAAATGTTATTAGAAATATGACATGAATTGAAATATACATTTACTAACTAGTGTGTAAGGCCACTCTTTTAGAAAAAAACAAACTTTTGATGAAAAGACAATTGTAACCCATGTGACAAATTTTATTTTTAGTCATACTGCACATTTATTAAAAAAAAATATTCATAAACATTTAATAAAACTACTTAAAATGTAAAAAGTTTCAGCTTTTAAAAAATTGCTTACGGTATGTAAACAAATATGGAATTGAAATGATTAGTAACCATTACAAAAAAAGAACAATACTATTTACAAATTATAAAAACACAATATGTTTAAACCAATAAACTTTACCAATCTAAATACTATGCAGCTTGCAAACATTAGTTTTGATGGTAAATCATTTGCATCAAATAAGCATGAAATGAAGGCAGAGTTAAAACCAACAGAACCATTGCTAACTGAGTTAATCCAGAGACAGTTAACTAAGTTAAGATACGAGACACGTAGTAACTGAGTTATCATTGATACTAGAGTCGCAATATATACCTTGTTGTCGGTGTATTGAATCAAGACCACAAACAATTAAGACCTTTTGACCTAATTACTGAAGTTGTAAGGTGTTTAAACAAATCATAAAGAAATTTACTTAGGAAAGCTGATTGGCTAGAAGTTACTACTGAAATAACCATAGTCTAACAGTTACAAATGCAACTTTAGGGCTGTTCGAAATGGTTTGTGTGGTTCACTAATATATGACACTAAGCCATGAACCTTTTCATGAAACGTATGCTTTAATACTTTAACACCTTATTCTGAACAACGATTGTCAATACTTTTAGTTGTACTTTAACAATTTTATTGTATTTTGTTTTTGTTGAAATAATACTAACACCAATATTTGATGGTACAAATACTAATGGTTACCTATCATAATCCCTACAGACAAAGATTTACTTTTTTCATTAGGAAAGGAAATGTCCCTAAAAAAAAAAATATCTCTATGTTATGAATGCGTCATTGAAATATGTCATGTGATTCCACTTTAGGTTATAAAGATGTGAATCGCAGCAGGTATAATTAATTTAAATACCCCCTCCCCCTCCGGAAGCAAATATAATACTCCCAATATCATATGACCTATACCAGCTTACTTAACAAAGATCGAAGAAAATGGTGTTGTCTTTGCTGTGACGTAAACATGCAGCCTTTCAAGTAAAGACTTTATGCTAAGTGGAGTTTCCTGTAAAATTTGTTTTCTTATTTTACCGACCGGAATATTTAGGTTACCATCAACCAATCACCTAGAATCCCCAATCTTTAATTTTAAATATTATGTTATAGGAACATAATTCCAATTTTTTAAACCTCATGTGTTAACTTATATTACTAAGTAATGTTCTGTTGTTGTCGGCAACGTTTAACAGACTTAAACCGTAAATGTAGTTTAAATCACAAGTTAAGAAAGTAATTAGAGTTTTGTGTTTTGGTTTGCCAGTTTGGCGTTCTCGTAGTTTACACTCAAAGCTTCTCTCTTATCAAATTACGTATGTTCCCTATGCAAAAACATGTATAATAATAATAATATTTGTGGATAATAAATTTGACAAACCTAAACTATTTACAAACTATTTTAATACTTAGCCAATGATTATAGCTTGTCACAAAGTGTTACTAATAGAAAAAGAACAAAGCAAATAAGTCTATTAGTTTTTTTTTTTTACGAATATTATATTATTAAATTAAATTGCTTTAGATCCACGCTCATATTTTAAAAGACTAAAAGTTTATTATTTATCCTACCAATTAATGTAAATCGTATACAAAAATAATTAATCCTTGCATTAACTTTCTAACAGTTTTGTAATGAAAACCAAATTATCTTTTATATTTGTATTTCTTACGCATTTATTTCAAAACTTCAAACCTACATACTATAATTTCCTTTGAAGTACGATTCATTGGACCAAAAGATAGTTACGTAATAATTACAGACTAAACTGCAAATTAATCACGGTGTATACGGTTACTTAGAAAATAAACTTATTAGACCAATTAGTTCAAATGAAATGTAAGTTTGCCAAAGTTTCTCGAGGCTGGTCAGTTAACAGGGCACAAACGGACGGTCCGAGCTATTGTACAATTTATAATTGAACTAAGATCGCTTGGTTTTGGCAATAAAGATAACTTTGATGACCAAAGAGAAACTAAAACCTGATTCCTAAAAAGTATATAATTCCATATGAATTTATAACTATATTTTATTGATGTGAAACGATGCTTCTAAGGTTTAAGATTTGTTTCGAAAGCAATCTCAACGAACAAACACAAATAATTTTAAAGCGTCACATTCAATAAATTATATCGTAATTAATCTGTTTTACGCTTGAAAATGTAAAAGTAACATTCTTACTTTTTTAATAAAATGTGAGTTCGTCCATGTCCAAAGAGTATTAAATAAAGCAGTCGATTTCCCCCTAATATTCATACCTTTCTCTTACAGTACTTTTTACCTCTGACTTTAGCTTTAAATTCTGACATAAGGCTAGGAAATCTTTTTAATAAATTTTCTTTCTTCGCCATATTAAATGCATCATTAACTACGTTCAAAAAGATTACCAAGAAATTTTGTGTAACCAACTCCAATGCTGTTGAGTAAATACGATGAGTAAATATGGTAAAAGAATGAATCTATAACTTGTCATCCAAATAAGGTATAACTAATGCCTAAAGTTTTAGTGTATGAGAAAAAAATAGAATACGTGGGAAAACATACTTAGATTTTATTCGCATTTCGGTATTGTACTGAATACTCACTAAAACAACCCAATAACGTATGTGGTCAGGTGAATTATTAATTGGTTTTAATAACGTTATAACAAACTAGTAACTAGCGTTTGACAAAAATCAAATTGAAAAACAATTAATTTAAAATAAACATTGAAAAAGTATTTGGAACTAAAATTTAACACCTTTAGTATATTGTTCATCTTTATTATTGTATATCATGTGTAGACTACTAATGACTATTATAATAAATATTGTCGAAGAATAAAATAAAACAAAGCTCCAAACCGTAATACCCCTTCTTTTATTGTGCAACACCTTTTTGTAGCACATAAATACGCCTTTCATGTATTGTGGTGATTGAGATCGGGACTTTACGGCAGTGATGAAGGATTAGTTCACAAAAGTGAACAGTATCCATAGTGGCAACGTTCTGCAATTAGCTTTTGTGAAGGCTTCAATGCAGGCTGCTGATAAACACCATTGTGTTGGACAAGATTTGATCTCAGCTTTACGCAATAATCTTTCTCTATTTAAGCTATCGTACTTATATTCTCCGCGTTGTCAGTTGATAAAAAGAGAAACATAATGAAATGGATAGGCAACAGCAAAAATAATTTATAAATTATCAAATAAGTTTAAATCATGCAGTGAACAACAATATTCATGTAATACCTTAAAGGGTTTATTTATGATTTAATTATTTTAATTGCTGTTTTGAATATCTCAGCTAGAACTCATGGCTTGTCA